AGCACAACGAGGAGTACGTGACTCATTGCGAGATATGCGGTAAAGGTTTCTATACGAATCAAACGTTGGAGAGACACCTGCTCACCCACACAGGGGAGAAACCATTCGTCTGCAAGATTTGCAACACTCCTTACGCGAGTGCTGCTTATCTAAACACGCACATGAAGTCTCACGGCGAGCGGGAGAAACACAAATGTAACGTATGCAATTTCGAGAGCTATTGGAAGGCGGCTTTGAAGGTGCATCTCAAGATACACACCGGGGAGAATCTCATCACTTGCGAGATTTGCGGCAAATTGGTTTCGAGCAAGGCTTATCTCCAGATCCATATGCGTATACATTCGGGGGAGAAGCCGCATGTGTGCGAAGTATGCGGCAAAGCGTTCAGCGTTCGAAAATATTTGATCGTACACCTGAGAACGCATACGGGTGAAAGACCGTACGAGTGCAAGGTGTGCCAGAAAAGGTTCACGCAGCAAGGCTCGTTAAATTCGCACATGAAGTCGCATCACGAGAGAAAGTAGTGAACCAAAGGCATAAATCTTATGTATGTGTGTTATGTATGCATGAAGAAAATAGATTATTGGAGGAAATCGCGAGATGAGAATGAGAGAGGCGCGTGCACTCGTTCTCCTTGCAAATTAGATTTTTTGATATAATAGGTAGAAGAAAGAATATTTATAAGACTCGATCGAAGAAAATTGATTGATTTAGATTGTATAAATGTTAAGAGGTTTTTATGTATTTGGCTACTATGGTGAATTTTTTGCAAGATGTTTCATTGTACTTCAGAAAATTCATTACTTGAATATTCATTCATTGCTGTATATATTCTATTGTTATTAATTTTTAAAAATGAAATTATTTACTTTGATTTTTAAAATTTCTATTATTATTAAAAATTTGAATCGTTGCTATATTAGTACTATTCATTTATATGTATTTATAAAATCTCCTAATATTGTACTGAAATTTAATTTTTTCAATGATTTTAGTAATGATAAAATGTTACAAAAAGTTTAGCATGGTAGCCATCGCAGTGTTACGATAAATTTTTGTAATTGCTACTTTTTACTCAGGTTTATCCTGTATTTTTCAAATCGTATTTTTTACAAAAGAAATTGATATTAGTAAGATTTTTCTAACAGCTTTACACAAATGAAATTATTATATCATAAAGCGATAATAAAATAATTGATAAACTGCATCGAGCAGTTTTATAATAAGCGCAAATTAAATTAAAAATTAATTACAATGATACAATGATTACAATGGACGAAAAGTTTCATTGAATCAAAGAGTTAATACGTCAGATAATTTTGTAGTAAGACTGCTTTTCATTTATTATCAATATTTAAATAGCTCAAACAAATTTAAAATTGTTTTTATTAACAATAGAGATAATCCTTATATACAAATAATAATTGTATCTTAGAATTTCGCGATATAAAAGGTGCCATAATATAAAAAAGATTTTAAAAAAAGAAAAAAATAAATTAATTTTAACAAAGTCAAATATAAAATTATATATCCCATTCGCATACATTTTTATTTTCTTGTTTAATAATTTTTTAATGAAAACGTAATATAAAAAAGTTGGAATATATATACAATTAGCAATATGATAAAAATAAAAGGATGATTTGTACAATACAATCAATACAATAGTAAAAATATAACAAAAGATAGAATAAAACTTGCAGCATGATAGCGTCTATTTTGTTAATTAATTATGAACAAATTATTTACTAAAAGTATAAACACGAAGAACAATTTATATTTAATAAATTTTGTATTTATATAGATTTAAATTTACTAAATTCATCATGGATTTATAATTACGACAATTATTATGCAATTGAACGATTATGTAATGATACAATTTTAGGAATTATATTGTAATACGCATATAATTAATAATTTTTTTTTTTTGTTTGTTTTTGTTAACTTTTAATACATTTGTATAACTTTTCATGTAAATACACATCGTCCAAGTTAATAACGCACATTACAGATAGGCGAAAATTTATCTCTTTATGCGAATAAACTTATTTTTTTATGTATTATGCGCGATACATACATATGATTCTGTGTTCATCTTTTATATTTTTATTTTCTAAAAAGTATTTTTTAAGGTGTATACGAAATATGATAATGGAAAAGATTATCTTTGAAAAAGAAGATTGAAAAATACAGTAAATTTTTACAACAAAATTTGTATACAATAATCCCGCTTTTCTTAGAAATGTACAAAAATTTTTATTGAACGTTAAGATGTATCGATGAAACAATTTTTATTTATCGCGAAAATTATTTTCGCATCATGTAAATGTCTTTCAGAAAGAACAACGAGTTTATAAATTACTTTTGTTAATCAAAAAAAAAAAAAAAAGAAAAAAAAGAAAAAGAAAAGAAAACGATATATTATAAAAAAAATTATATATATTCATGCTATATATTCATACGAACAACGAAATACAGATATTTTATCCAGACAAAAACTGTATTATTTCAACAAGAAACTTTATTTTATTTGACGAAAAAGATTTACATTTTTGTAAATAACTCGCAAAACGATTTTTTTAATTCGAATTAATACAAGATTCAGTCGAAGAAGAAAGAAGAGGAGAAGTAATTCGAAAAATCATTTCGTTCTTTATGCTATATACATAAATATATATATATATACATTCAGTGTATATTTCATCAAATGTAAATCAAGCTAAATATTCGTTAATAATAATAATAAAAAAAAAAAAAAAAAGAAAAGAAAACAAGTACCTTCCACAATAAAAAAATCGAAAGTTGTCGTTAGATCTAAACCAATAAAATAAGAATCGCTATTGACGACACTTTTTTTTTTCATTTTCTTCGCAGATCGCCATCGATTACGAGGATCGAAGCATCGTTAGAAGATATGATCACGGAAAAATCAGTGATAGTATTTTCGATCGTGAAAGAAGAGGATCGATCGAAATCGACGAATCAACGGAAATTCGACCAAGATTCGCAACGTTTCGTCAAAGTTGAAGAACGCGACACGCAATTCGTAACCACGAATTGGCAAGAGTGTAAAGGGGCGTTGAAAGAGGACGCGACTTCGACTAGGCAGAGGAATCCCTCGGCTCAGACGTTCTATCAGTGTGAAATATGCAGGAAGCTTTTCAGGACGAAGAATCTGTACGAGGGCCATCTTGTGTCGCACAGCGACGCTCGACCGTATCAGTGTGACATTTGTGGGAAATCGTTCAAAAGGAGCAACACTCTGACCGTCCACAGAAGAATCCACACACGGGAGAAGAACTTCGTGTGCGACGTGTGCGGCCACGCGTTCGTTCAAGCGTTCCAACTGACCATCCATCAGAGGCGCCATTTCGAAAAGTACACGAGGTATTGCGAGATCTGCAAGAAAGGATTCTTCACCAACGCCGAGCTCCACGGTCACATGAACGTGAAGCACGGCGCCAAGGAGCACGTGTGCCAGAATTGCAACAAGTCTTTCCCTAATAATCACAGCCTCGTGAAGCATCTCAAGTTTCACGACCCGAACTTCAAACCTGTGAAGCACCAGTGCGAATTCTGCGGGAAAACGTTCGTATACAAGAATTCGTTGGTGTTCCACGTGAAGACCCATATGGGCGAGAACAAGCACACCTGCCATCTTTGCGGAAAATCGGTGTCCTCCAAGGGATCTCTCCAAGATCATCTCCGTCTCCACAGCGGGGAGAAACTGTTGATCTGCGACATCTGCGGCAAAGCTTTTCGCAAGAGGAGCACTTTGGTCGTTCACAAAAGGACTCATACAGGGGAGAAACCGTATAGTTGCGACACGTGTGGGAAATCGTTCACCCAACATTCCACGCTGGTCGTTCACAAGCGATATCACACGGGCCAAAGGCCTTATCATTGCGAGTTTTGTACAAAATCGTTCGTTTCCAGGTCGTCTTTGAACGCTCATAACAAAGTGCACGCTCAAGTGAACGTTAATGCCGCTACGGTGAATCAAACGGAGTGAACCTCCTTTTCGGAGGTTTTTTTTTTTTTTTTTATAATATTATTGGTGGAATAATAAAAAGCTACATTGTTTTAAACGAAAAAAAGAAAAGAACGAAGTTGAAAAATGTTGAAATAGTCTTCGAGCTCTACAGGGATATTTGGATATGGAAACTTTTTGAAGAAGGTTGTAATTTTAGATGCTACTTTACTACCTGATCGAGAAATTTATTTCGATTTTTTATCACATGTGTAATATCGATAGAATGTAATTTTGTACATACATACGATAATTGGCTATAATATCTATCGAAGGGATTTTTTAACGGTGCCAAAGTTATAATCTGAAAACTTTTTTTCAGTTATATTTTTATATTTAATTTCGCACGATCGAGAATGTAATCTCGTTTTATATAGTTCCGCTTCTTTTTAATAATATGTAAGGATATATATATATATATGTATATATGACGTTCCTGTTTATATATTTTTCTTTACAGTATTACAGCATTTTACTTGTACAAAATGTAGTTTAAAGTTGGGAGCAACAAAAGGATCGTCTGATCTCTGAATGAAGTTGTAAATCCTTTTTTCTTTTTTCTTTTTTTTTATGGAACATAATATTTTTCCAAGTTACTTAATCGTCGTTTCATGTACAACTTTTGTTAAATAAAACGAATTGTTTGACATCGTGCAAACGATAAACACTGTGTTGTCAGAATAACATAATAATTTCTTACGAAGTACCATCTTTTTCGCGACGCACATTTTTTTTATTTATCATCGATCGAATCGATGAAAAAAAAAAAAAAAAGAAATCGTCGATTCTTTTAAAACGTTTCTCTCTATCAATTTGCCAATTTTTGGAAGATTCTTTGAGATCGATATAATTGATCGCTTGCAGGTATTCGATTCGAGAAAATCGCTTTCCGGGCGCGGAAAGACTGCGATTATCAAACGAGGACATCCCCGATACTGATGCGTCCCTTCGAATTTTTACATTTCAGGTACAACCAGCTACCTTTCTCCGAAGAGTATTACCCGATGGCGATGTTGACGAAGCTCGAGCTGGTGAAGAAGGACGTGGACGCTACGTCGCCTGTAAAAACCGGAGACACGGACGTTGCCAACAACTCGTCCTTTCCACCCGTGCCCCTGAACCCGGAGCAAAGCTTCATCAAGCAAGAAGTGGCCGACGAGATCGACGAGGAAGATCTGCCCCTCGCGTACCACTGCAAGATCTGCGGCGTGTTCTTCGCCTCGCAGGCTTTACTCGACAATCACGAGATCGAGCACAAGAGTAAACGGAAGAACACGTGCAACCAGTGTGGAAGAGTGTTCAGAACGTACGTGAACTTGCGGAAACACATGAAGAAGCACAACGGGCGGAAAGGTGGCGGGCGCAAGGCGAACAACGCGTCCACGGTCGCCAATCGTTCCAACATAAAGGTGAAGAAGGAGAAGCCCGAGATGGAGTTCGTGTGCAAAACGTGCAACAAGGTGTTCAGACACAAGAGCAACTACCAGAAACATCTGATGCGGCACACGGTCGGGGATCTCACGTGCAAACACTGCCCCAAGAAGTTCCGCCTGTTCCGTGATCTGACCAGGCACGAGAAGACCCACTTCTATCCTAGCTACATGTGCAAGGAGTGCGACTACGAGACCACGGTGCTGGCCGCCCTAAGCATTCACATGTTGCGCCACACCGACAAGAACGATCTACCCTTCCAGTGCAACGACTGCGACAAACGTTTCCGCAAAGCGATCGATCTGCAGGAGCATTACAACATACACTCAGGGGACAAGCCTTTCGCCTGCCAGTTATGCGGCACCGCCTTCTATCTCAGGCGACAACTGTCCGCCCATTGCAGGCGTATGCACCCGGAGATGAAGGCGAACAAAGTGACGAGCACGGCGTGCGACATCTGCGGCCGAGTTCTCGCAACCAAGAGATCCTTGTTCCGGCACAAGGAGAGCCACAATCCCACCAAATTGTACCTGTGCGATTACTGCGGCAAGAGTCTGAGCAGCGCGGAACATTTGAAGAAGCACAGGCGCATCCACACGGGGGAGAAACCGTACGTGTGCGACATCTGTGGTAAAGGTTTCACGGATTCGGAGAATCTCAGGATGCACAGAAGGGTGCACACGGGGGAGAAACCGTACAAATGCGACCAGTGCCCGAAAGCTTTCTCGCAGAGGTCGACGTTGACCATCCATAGGCGGGGTCACACGGGGGAACGGCCGTACGTGTGCCAGATCTGCAACCGTGGTTTCTCGTGCCAGGGCAACCTGACGGCCCATCAGAAGTCGACCTGCGTGTAAACGCGACGAGTGCCTTTCGTCGTCGTCGTCGTCGTCGTCGAGGGTTAGAACTCTGAGAGATCGTCGTCTCGAGAGTAATACCATCCGTG